AGAGACGTAAAAGTTTGTGTTTGGTTGAAATCGAAATGGATTACGAAAGAATCGCAAAGCCTCAGGTATTTTACCATTACCACTGATTTGATTTACAACTTCGTCTTCTGTGTCGCTTAATTCTCCAATTAAACACATTGTGATTTTGATTTGTTGTGTACAGGGATGCGGCGTTAATGGCGGTGGATTATCGCCAGGAAAGTTGAGGAATATGCTCTTGGGAATGGGAGTGGAGAAGAAGAGAAAAGAAGAGGAGGAAGAGATTGAATCTGATTATGATAATTGTAAAGATGTTGATGTGGTGAGTGTAGTTCCCGAGCCTCAGTGTTCCACGTCATCAAATGCTCAACAGAGACTACCGATTGCTCCTTTCTCAAAACCGGCGCCGTCGAAATGGGACGATGCACAGAAGTGGATAGTCAGTCCTAATTCCAATAGGCCAAGAAATCAGGTCACTGGAGTCCGGAAGGGTGGAATCAGCCGTCAGTCCTCCACTAAAGTTCTTCTTGAAGTTCAAACAGATCAAACTCTACTTGAGGAGCCACATACAAAGCGGATGTTAATGCAATTAATTAGGAAGTTAAAAAATCATTAGAAGTTAAGTAAAAAAAAAAAAGGTAAATATAAAACATTAAGGCAAGTTTAATTACAAATACTTGGCTTCAATAATAACCCCAGGAGTTGGCTTGCGCGGTTAAGAATGTTTACTCATTTTATTGACTTTTTGGGTTCGAACCATCTTAATGCCATCTATTACATTTGTGGCTTACCTTAAAATTTTGGGGTTACAGGGTGTTTAAGCACCTCGATAGAGTGTTATAGGGTCTCAGGAATTAGTTATGGTGACGCAAGTTGACCCGGACATCTTGACATAAAAACAAATTAATAAATATAGGAAAAAAAAAAAAAAAAACCATCTTACATTCAAATTTATTTCAATAACACCCTCTTCTTCAACATTCACATAATCCATCACTAACCACCTAGCCACTGAAACTGCCACTGACACCACCCAACCACTCCGTCAAAATCAGCTAGGATCCGCCACAAACAACCATCGGTAATCAAAGGAAACTTCAATCACATGCGACCAACATACCAACTAAACAAACTCCAAAAACAAATTAGTATTTATGAATGTGATTGAGGCCTTTCGTTGAGCAGTTGGTGGGCAAAGATGCTGGTGGCTTGTGGGACGCAGATGGGAGGTCGCCGAAAATCACACTACACACACAAAAATCGAATCCACAAAAAAAAATTACAAAAGCAGTCACCAAATTCACCCAACCACTGCACCACTTGCAACTCCTTCCATTCTCCTCCTCTTTCCTTTCTTTTTTCTCTTATTCTTCTTCTTACTTTCTTTTTCCTTCTCCTCTCCTTCCTTTCTTTCTTCTCCCTTCTCAATAATTTCTTGGCCCTTGCGGTGGCCAGATATTGGTAGCCTCGTGAGGGCCTCGTGGGGGCTGGATTCTGCTGCCACGAGGCCCTCACGCGGCGGCCAATATCTGGCTACTTCAAAGGCCAAGAAGCATCCATTTGGCCACTGCTTTTGGCCCACTCGAAGGCCAAATCTAGCTGCCACAAAGCCTCCATGCGGTGGTCACATTTGGTTTGTCCGCATGGAGGCCTTGTGGTAGCCAGATTTTGCCACCATGAGGGCCAAGAAGCAACAATTTGGCTGCTACTTTTGGTAGACACAAAGGCCAAATCTGGTCGCCACAAGGCTTCCACATGGTGTCGAAGAGGAGATCAGGGTTTGGTTAAGGGTTATGGACGGGGAGAAGAGTGTGGCTGTTGGTTAGGGAGAGAAATGGGAGGCTATGGTGAGGGAGGGAGGAAGAAGTAGTGGAAGAGAAGAAGTTTTAGAGAGAAGGTGCTTGTGAGAGAAATTTGAGATGTGGACGGTTATTTTAACATTTTTATTCTCATTTCAGTTTTAACGCAGTACAAATTACCATTTTATCATTTGACCATTACATTAAATAATTTTCTGTTAATTTAAGGATGAGAATCTGAAATTTATGAAACAAGGGTGGGAACTTGCTATTTCGCGAGACCTTGGGTGGGAACATATCTTTTACTCAAAGAACAAAAACTTATAGATACATTGAATAAAATTAATGAACTTTTTTCAAAGGTTAAAATACATCAAAAGTATCATTACTTATATTTTCTCTAATGATTATTTTCGATTTTTTATTGAGAATTTTAGAAACGTATTTTATCAAAATTTATATGCTATTTATGATTATTATCAAATTTTCTAAATTTTTTCTTTTTATAATGATTTATTATTGTGTTTACTTTAATCAAATNTTCACATAATCCATCACTAACCACCTAGCCACTGCCACTGACACTACCCAACCACTCCACGAAAATTAGCTAGGATCCGCCACAAACAACCATCGGTAATCAAAGGAAACTTCAATCACATGCGACCAACATACCAATTAAACAAACTCCAAAAACAAATTAGTATTTATGAATGTGATTAAGGCCTTTTGTTGAGCAGTTGGTGGGCAAAAATGCTGGTGGCTTGTGGGACGCAGATGGGAGGTCACCGAAAATCACACTACACACACAAGAATCCAATCCACAAAAATAAATTGCAAAAGCAGTCACCAAATTCACCCAACCACTGCAACACTTGTAACTTCTTCCATTCTCGTCCTTTTTCCTTTCTTTTTTCTCTTATTCTTCTTCTTACTTTCTTTTTCCTTCTCCTCTCCTTCCTTTCTTTCTTCTCTCCTCTTAATAATTTCTTGGCCCTCGCGGTGGCCAGATATTGGTTGCCTCGTGGGGCCTCATGGGGGCTAGATTCTACTGCCACAAGGCCCTCACGCGGCGACCAATATCTGGCCACTGCAAAGGCCAAGAAGCATCCATTTGGCCACTGCTTTTGGCCCACTCGAATGCCAAATCTAGTTGCCACAAGGCCTCCACGCGGTGGTCACATTTCGTTCGTCAGCGTGGAGGCCTTATGGCGGCCATATTTTGCCACCGCGAGGGCCAAGAAGCAACAATTTGGCTGCTACTTTTGGTCCACGCAAAGGCCAAATCTAGTCGCCACAAGGCTTCCACATGGTGTTGAAGAGGAGATCAGGGTTTGGTTAAGGGTTATGGACGGGGAGAAGAGCGTGGCTGTTGGTTAGGAAGAGAAATGGGAGGCTATGGTAAGGGAGGGAGGAAGAAGCAGTGGAAGAGAAGGAGTTCTAGAGAGAAGGTGCTTGTGAGAGAAATTTGAGATGTGGAGGGTTATTTTAACATTTTTATTCTCATTTCAGTTTTAACGTAGCACAAATTACCATTTTATCCTTTGACCATTACATTAAATAATTTTCTGTTAATTTAAAGATGAGAATCTGAAATTTATGAAACAGGGGTGGGAACTTGCTATTTCGCGAGACCTTGGGTGGGAACATATCTTTTACTCAAAAAACAAAAACTTATAGATACATTGAATAAAATTAATGAACTTTTTTCAAAGGTTAAAATATATCAAAAGTATCATTACTTATATTTTCTCTAATGATTATTTTCGATTTTTTATTGAGAATTTTAGAAACGTATTTTATCAAAATTTATATGCTATTTATGATTATTATCAAATTTTCTAAATTTTTTCTTTTTATAATGATTTATTATTGTGTTTACTTTAATCAAATAATTAGGAAGTTAAAAAATCATTAGAAGTTAAGTAAAAAAAAAAAAAGGTAACTCATAAAAACATTAAGGCAAGTTTAATTTACAAATACTTGGCTTCAATAATTAACCCCAAGGAGTTGGCTTGCGCGGTTAATAAGGTTTACTCCTTTTATTGACTTCTTGAGTTCGATCCAACTTAGTGCCATCTACCATATTTGTGGCTTACCTTAAAATATTGAGCTTACAGGGTGTTCAATACACCCCGATAGAGTGTTCAATGGGTCTCAGGAATTAGTTATGGTGCGCGTAAATTGGTCCAGACATCCTGACCATTAAAAAAAAAAAAAACTCCAAAATCATTTTCTTTAAAGGATATTATCACTATTTTCGGAAATTTGTGAAAGGACACAATTTTTTTTTTTTTTTTTTTTTTTTAAAAGGAAACATTTATTGGTGCGTTGCATTATATTCAACTATATAACAAAAGAATTTAAAAAACTACCTTGACCTTTTGTTAATCATCAAACTCTTGAATTTTTAATTTTCAAAGTTTTTTAAAAAGGTTATTATTATTTATTTAATTTTTTGTTAAATATCAAATTGTGAATATTTTTAAAGTAATCAAATTTTAATTTGAATAATTATTGAAAAATAAGTACAGTCATTAATTAATAATTGAAATAACTTTTTTCGTCCTATAGTTTCAATTCACTCCTTTTAGTCCAATGGTTTAAATTTTTTGGTCCTTTTCATTTCAAATTACTACTGTTTTAGTCATTTGATTTAATAAAAGCTTATTTGACTGTTAAATTCACATTTTTCCTTATTTCAAAGTTATTAAAATTTTAGTAAACATTAGTATAATAATATATCTTTTAAACAAATGTGTAATATATATATAACAAAAATTACATTATGCATTATAAATCCATATTAAGTAAACAATAAATTAAAATTTAAAAAATGCATTATACATTAGAAATTGAAATAAATAAATACATTACACATTAGTGAATCAAAATTAAATAACTATGTTGAATTTGTAGTGTATAATGTGTTTATTTACTATGAATTTGTAGTGTATAATGTGTTTTATTAATTTAGTGCTATTTGTGAAAGTAACTTTTTATTTTTTAGGGTTTTTTTTTTTTTGGTCATTTTAATATGAATTTAATAGTCAACCAACCTTTTATTAAGTCAAAGGACTGAAAAGTAGTAAATTGAAACTACAAGGACGCAAAGTTATCTGATTACTGATGTAGTATATTTTCTATTGTTGTCTTTTTAACCCCTATTGTGTAAACTGTAAAGTGTAAGTTTTGAAATTTAATTTTAAAAGATACGATATATTGGGGAGGAGTACATTACAGGGAAGCTGAAGCCGTGAAGCCTAGTGCCGAGTGCTGACTACTGAGCGAGGAGCAGAGAAAGAGATGGTTAAGAGCTGCAAATGTAAGAACAGAGAAATTTCATAAAATTTTGAATTGGACTTCGTGAGAGACGTAAAAGTTTGTGTTTGGTTGAAATCGAAATGGATTACGAAAGAATCGCAAAGCCTCAGGTATTTTACCATTACCACTGATTTGATTTACAACTTCGTCTTCTGTGTCGCTTAATTCTCCAATTAAACACATTGTGATTTTGATTTGTTGTGTACAGGGATGCGGCGTTAATGGCGGTGGATTATCGCCAGGAAAGTTGAGGAATATGCTCTTGGGAATGGGAGTGGAGAAGAAAAGAAAAGAAGAGGAGGAAGAGATTGAATCTGATTATGATAATTGTAAAGATGTTGATGTGGTGAGTGTAGTTCCAGAGCCTCAGTGTTCCACGTCATCAAATGCTCAACAGAGACTACCGATTGCTCCTTTCTCAAAACCGGCGCCGTCGAAATGGGACGATGCACAGAAGTGGATAGTCAGTCCTAATTCCAATAGGCCAAGAAATCCGGTCACTGGAGTCCGGAAGGGTGGAATCAGCCGTCAGTCCTCCACTAAAGTTCTTCTTGAAGTTCAAACAGATCAAACTCTACTTGAGGAGCCACATACAAAGCGGATTGATCTTCATCTTGATCAGCGGAAAAAGTTTGTTCCTTTTGAGGCCCATTCATATGCCAACCCTGTGCTTATGATTGAAAATTCTGTAGCACAATCAGCTGGTAAGGATGTGCTATTTACTTGCTTGCACTTTGATATTATCAATTATTTTTATGATCTGGTGATTTATTTCATTGAATTAAATTTCCAAGGAAAATATGAGGATCATCATAGATAGGCAGATATTCTGGGTTGAATTATTTCCCTAGAGTGTATGATTTTGTGACTTGGGGGTAGATCTTAAGATAGTATGGCCCTTAATTCAGTAATGTTTCTGCTTGAATTTTCATCAATTTTTTGAACAACCAATTTTCTTTTGGATGCTACCTGAGGTGGTTGTTACTAAGTTTGGTAATAGGTTGTCCAGTCCTATTATTTGCATGAGTGGCTGTGCTGCTAGATGATGTTCTAAATTTTCATGCAAACTTAACCAAAAAAAAAAAAAAAAAAAGTCCTGAGAGATCCTGTAAAACTGGCTTAAGCATTTTGTTGTGTTGTCACCCAAATTAAAGCAATTTTATGAATAACAATGATTAATTCTGATATATGCATTTTTTCCTTTATTGTAGTTAATCTTAGCCGTCATGATTCATCTGTAGCTATACAGAGTGCAACTACGTTTATTCCACCTCCTTCAACAGCTAGATCTGTATCAATGAGAGATATGGGAACAGAAATGACCCCCATTGCTAGCCAAGAACCTTCCAGAACTGGAACTCCTGTGAGAGCCACTACACCGATGCGAAGCCCGACCTCATCTAGGCCGTCAACTCCTGGTAGAACTGCACCAGCTCCATCTCCTACAAATCCTCTGAATGATCATTTGGATCTGAATAACGAGTTGTCTGAGAAGGAGCTACAGATGAAAACTAGAAGAGAAATAATGGTTCTTGGTACTCAGCTTGGTAAAATGAACATTACTGCCTGGGCCAGCAAAGAAGAGGAGGATAAGGATGCATCTACTTCACTAAAAAATGTAGCAGTAGAACAGCGAACCAAAAGTGTCATCGACGCACGTGCAGCAGCATGGGAGGAAGCAGAGAAAGCCAAATATATGGCCAGGTATATTTTCTAAGGCCCTATACCGAGGCCTTATTTATTCTTTTAGGAACTTCAAATTCATCCTTGATGTTTCGTCTGGCATTGTCACACTGAACATTTCAAGTGATTCAACTCTAGGGTTTGTTTCTTTTTTCTTAAAATTGAATAAATAAAGTTTGAAAATCTGTAATGTTATGGACTGTCTGATTTGACAAATTTTAAATAATAGGATCATGGGACTCAACTGAATCTTGCTAGAGATTGTTGAACTATTTTTATTTGTATTCAATTTTATGCTTCACAGCTCTGGACTAAACATCTTGAAACTGAGGTATAGGTTACTAAAAAAATGTGATGTGATCTAGATATGATACATTTTGGCCAGGGTAAAAAGTGCAATATTATATCGTTTGGACCTTAAAACATAAGGTAGTGTTGTGTGTTACATCTAGATCAGCCCATTGTATATACCAGTCTATAGAGAACAGATCTTTCAAGTGACAAACACTATAACATTCTTGCATAATTTATTAGGTTGCTGGAATTTGTCACCTTTTTTAGGACTCATTAACCTGTTTGGAGATATTTATCTACTAGGGTTTGGTTGTTTTTAATTCTTAATTTTAATTACTTTTCCTGAAATGGGTGGCATGACTGTAATTACTTAGGTTCAAACGTGAAGAGATGAAAATTCAGGCATGGGAGAATCACCAAAAAGCAAAAACAGAAGCTGAGATGAGGAAAATTGAGGTATCTATTGAGTTTCACTGTTGAAATTACTTTTCTTCTTTTTCATTTTCTTCCTGTCACATAAAAATATAATCATAAATAGCCAAAGAAACCTTGTATTCTTTTATCTGCTAGTACAGCCTCCATACATATTTGTACCAAATTCTTATGTTAATGTCTCAAGGAAGGTTTAATGATTCTTTTATTTGTACTTTATTACTATAGAAATTATTGCTTTTAGAATCTCTCTCTCTCTCTCTTTCCATGCACACACGAGCTTGTGCTTGTGCTGATGTATATACATGGTGCCACATGCTTTGTATACTCACAAACACCATTGTAGGGGTGGGTTAGCAATTAGCTACAAAAATCTGATGTTTGCATGCAGAAAAAACTTCTTATTAACAAATGAAAATAGTTATAGGGTATGAGGAGCATACTGTTTGTAGGTTCATGAGCATCAAAGGTATACATAATTGAGTTTTCACATGGATATACTTTCTAGCAGTGGCTGTGATATCTTTGAATAATTAAATACCCATTAAGTCAAATGATTTTTAGTGCTGTGGAAGCTTTATTAATACATTTACAATAATAGCTAGATAAATTAAGAAACACAGCCTGAAGCAATATAATATATGAAACGAAATAACATCAGTAAAGCTAGTGGATTGAGTTGGCATGATAGTTACATTTTATATAAACTCTAGTGCATGTTTGTGCATAATTGTGTGTGTGACATTAAAGCTATATAACTGCCAATCTGCACTTAATTTGTTTCACATTCTTCTGAATGTAATGTGGACCAATATTGGTGCTGATGGACCATATGTGCTTCTGTTGCCAATACAAATTGCCAAAACTCATATTTAGACTCAGTAAATACTTCCCTGATGTGAATTAGATGAAACGATTTGACTTGCATACCATCTAATTTGTGTGTCTGTGCATATTATTGATTTTCCTCTTGGGAGCAGTTTTTACTGTATCTATATGCATCAGTTTCAAGTTTTAAAGATTTGACTCTAATGCATGACTAAAAGTTTATATAATTGTTCTTGGATTTTAATCCACTTTAAATTACAGAAATTCATTTGTAAGAAAGAGGTCTTGGATACTGTTAAGTTTTAGATTTCCATGGCCATATATGGATTTGTTGATTGATACAATCATCTGTTAGAAATTGATATGCACTTTTAGCTTTTACATTGGTAAACTTTATATTAAAATTTTATATAAACTCCACAAGTAGGTACTTCCACCAAAGAGTTATTATTTTTCTTTTAGAATTTAGTCACTTATTCAGAGGTCTCAACTATGGGCTCCAGGGTTTAAACAAAATCTGGATTTGATGCATTCAAGGGCTGGAAGTAGATATTGAAAAAAAAAAAAAAAATGATTATGCAACGGGCTACTACTGTAATATGCGTTGAGCAGTTTACTAGCCCTATTTCTTCCCTTTTTTTTTTTTTTTTTTTTTTTTTTAAATTTTAACTAATACTCAATCTTTCTCTCTGACCATTTCTCTCCAAACCCTCTCCATCTCAAGACCATTATCAATCATTTTCGTTATTTTATTTCCTCAAATCTGAATAGAATGCCTAAAGCACCAAATACCATACCAGACAACAACACGATTAAAAAATTTAGGGAGGAAATAGTCTTGGTCAGCAAACTGAGGGCAAAGTACAGAGTTCTTTGTGGCTCATAAATTTAAGCGTCACCTTGAAGCATTTTCTTGGTTTTGTGCTTCCTTTAATGTTGCAAACTCAATCTTTTGGTTCTTACGGAAAGAGAGTATTGTGAGGAATATTGCTGGGAAGAACACTAGCTTGTTGATGCAAGTTTGTAATCATGGGGTTAATTCTTTTCTTTTCTTTTCTATTTGTAGTCCTTATTTTAACTATTTTTTCTTTTTAGTCCAGTAGTCCATACATGAATCTGAATGATGATAATATCATTAAGGTGAGGTAAATGAAAATCTTTTCACTACAGCATTGGTAACGAGCTTGCCAAACCAAGTAGATGTTGTCCGCTTTGGGCTTAGCCCGGACAAATTTACTTTGGCTTCATGCAAGTATTCTTCACCCACACTTAGATGAGTGCACCCAAGACTTATAAATTGAACTTAGGCTCCATTCACTATCGATATGAGATTGATATCTAACATGTACGAGGCATTGGAGCTTGCTCTTTACGGCTTTGTAGGAAGATTATTTTAACTTATTGGAAGTCATACCTCAGTGAACTCCAAAAATCTCATGCAAAATTCTGCACTTGGAATCCTCTTCAAAATGCAATTTTAATTCCTATTTTTTTCTTTCTTGAGTTGTGGATCAGGCATCTCACAGTCGGTAGAAAAGGTACTTTTGTTTAACTAATGTTATCTTACCCTCTAGATCCTTGGATGATAATATGAAGAAGGGTGATGTGTCACAGTCGGTAGAAAAGGTACTTTTGTTTAACTAATGTTATCTTATCCTCTAGATCCTTGGATGATAATATGAAGAAGGGTGATGTGTCTTCATACATAGGGTCATTAGTGAAAGAGAACTGGAGTACTTGCTTAAGGCTCATTGTACTTGAAGAGTTTTAAAGAATAGGCGATGGCTTCCCTTAGCCAACTTCAATTGCTATAAAAAATTATAAACTTTGAAACATCTTTTGTAAACTTGTAATTCCTTTTGTGAACTCTCATGTAATTGAATAATTGAGTATGAATGTTGTGGCATGCATTGCAGGTAGAGGTTGAAAGGATGAGAGGGCGAGCCCATGATAGATTGATGAACAAAATGGCAGCTGCAAGACATAAGGCCGAAGAGAAGCGAGTAGAGGCAGAGGCCAAGAGAAACCAGCAAGCAGCAAAAACAGAGCAGCAAGCAGAGTATATACGAAGAACTGGCCGCATTCCTTCCTCATTTTCTTGCTGGAGTTGGTGCTCTTGAAATATAAATCAGTTTTCCATGTATCAAGTTGTGTTTTGTTAATTTTTTTTGGTATTGTGTTTTATGTGGTTAATCATGTATCCTGTTCTTTGTCAACGTTGGCTGTTGGTAACATATTTTGCCTTGAATAGCCTCATTAAGATGACCATTTTACGCATTTGACATATAAATGACAAGTCACCTGAAACTAGTGCAGCCAAATCCATTTTAACTGATGCCAAGCACTATTTTAAAACACGACCCGAGCCTTGACCCAGTCAAGGGCTCAGATCTCGGGTTGACCAGTTCAACCGGTTGGATCGGTGATGTCATTATAATGATGTCATCTAAAATCCAAAACGACGCCATTTCAAAGAGGGTGTTATTGACTTTTAAAACTTACAAAGAAAACCCTAAATTCTTTATTTTCATTCATTTTTCCCATTTCTTTCTCTCTTCTGCTATTGTCTCCCTTTCTTCTCTCATTTGCATCTTTTTTCGATCTACCAAGGCTATCGTTTGGACCTCAACGGTGTAGGTTTTATGGCTGATTTCGTGGCTGCTCTGCCATGGTGTAGGCTTCGTGGATGTTGGATCTATCTGCCACGGTGAAGGCTTTGTGGCTGTTGGATCTATCCGCCACAGTGAAGGCTTCATGGCTGTTGGATCTATCCACCACGGTGAAGGCTTCATGGCTGTTGGATTTCCTTTTTTCCATTTCTTTTCTCTTCTTCTACTATCTTGTTTCTTCTCTCCCTTGAATTTTTTTTTTTCGATCTACAATGGCTAGTTGGCTACCTACGCATCTTGTTGGCTTTTTGACATCTTTACCTAAGGTTTTCTCGGAAATATTGACTGGGTTGCAATTTGTTGGTTGGACTATTTGGTATTTGCTGTAATCATTCTTTTCCATCCAACAATCCATGAATTTAAATTTTGAAACATTGGCTGTTACTATAAAATGTTGTGACATGCTAATAGGCATTTAAACTATGATAAAAATTGAAGATGAAGAACTGGAAATTAGAAAAGGGGAAATTGTTTTTAGGGATTTTTGGTGACTCGGTTGTGCCACCGGTCCGGTTGAACTGACAGTTTGTCACTATTCTGTCTGTCCAAATCCAGTTTATTTCAGGTTAATTGTTAAAAGTAGGTTTAGAAGGTTTTCGGACCGATGTTGGTGCTGGCTCCCGGTTGGACCGGCCGGTCTGGTCTGGGTTTTAAAACAGTGATGCCAAGGTGGGAAAGATGATGACTTTTGTGTGAGAAATGAGTAAATTCACCAATTATTATAACCAAGACAAAAATTTACAAGCAAGTTATCAAGTCTTCAACAACTTGATTGCGATTTCACGATTTTTAAATGATAAATAATTTCAAGTTTTAATCAAAACATGTTTGTTGATATGAAAAATCGTATCAACCAGAGAGATCCGATCGACCTTGATGGAATCAGAACGGATGTGTGCGTGATTAATTAAAATCTGCAATGAATAATTAATGAATGAGCAATAAAATAAAGAACACAAATGGATTTTTAAATTAGTTTGACAAGTTGAAACTTGAGCTTACGTCCATTGTTATCTTATTGCTTTTGAGAACTACACAATATATATATTTTGCTTAGAATTATTTGCTAACCCATTTCTCATTGTTTTAGGGGATATTTATACATAAACTTTGCAAAGGAAAGTGAGATAAATCTGGGATTGCGATTAGACTTGGCATGCAATCCCTTGATTTTAGTGACTGTGCGCTAAGATCACACTGCTATATATGCAGATAATATCTCCTTTGAGATATTAAGGGATGAGGCTTATCCTATGACCTATCGAATAGTTGTAGAGACTGGTTGCGATGAGCTTATGTTGGGTCGACCTCACTGTGATAAGCTTATGTTGGTTGAGCTTACTGTGATGAGCTTATGTTGGGTCGAGCTTATTCTGGGTCGAACTACAGTTCTGCGAGCTTATGGGACTTTCGAGCTTCTGACAAAATCACACACAACATCTGCCTTCAGTGTTTGGAGGTTGTGTCGAGTTTCGAAAATTGAAGTCTTGTGATTGGCTGCTTATGCTCGAACCCTTTATCAACTCAACTCACACGTAAGTTGTTGGAATGTTGGCGAACTTAGTTTTGCAACCTTTACCTCAACTGAAAACACCAAGACTTAGAATTTTTCAAGCTACAACATCAAATTTGAATTTTGAAATGGAGGGTAGATGAGTAATTTTTGAGCTGTCATGCCACGCATTTAATGCGGTCACCTTTTGTAGTTACTTTTGCCGTGCTATTAGGAAACAATCATAAATGGTAGCGGAAAACAAAAATATTTACATCATAGATCGTTCCTTAGAACAAAGATCAGGGCACAAATTTATAGTTTATACATAATTTTAGAATCTGCAGAATTTTAGTTTACAGTTTAAGAAATCATATGCATGTTTGGAGGCTCCTCCAACTCGTCTCTGAACGTATTTCGCTACCGACTCAAGAGTTCGATCGAACCAATGTAGTCCACATGAAGATAACCCCAAGGAACTAGAGAGAGATTTGCTAGATCCTCTTTAGCCTTTAAGAACCAAGAAGCAATCAAATAAAATTTGATTTCAAGCAAAAAATAAAACTGGCGTGAGAAGAGGAGAAAAGGGGCTGGAGTTATTCTTTGTGAATGAAAAATGAATTAATTAAATTAATTCACAAAGTGTTGCACTTATATAGTGCACACTTTGCCCTATTCCATCATGGAATGGGCTTGGGCTCCAACCCAAACACCCCTTGTATCCAAACATGCCCATTTAGATATTTTAATTTTAATTATCATTACGTCAATTAAATTAAATTAATATATATATTAACATTTAACAATAATGATAATTTATTTAAATATATGCGAACACATATTTAAACGTAATCTCACTTATTTAATTTTAATATCAAATTAAATAAAGGCTACGACCTCAGCAAATTTAATTGCACTGTAAAATTACCAAAATATCCTTTCGCCTAAAAAGATGAAAACGCCCTTCTTGTAAACTGGTTCTTAAATTATCTTCTATGTGTGTGACCCGTAGGCTCCTCATCATATCGGTAGTGTGTAGTATCGCGATTAATGTCAATTAATCGTCTCACTACACACAGACCAAGATTGGCCCCTAGCAAGACATCATGGCCACCCAATAGATTCGGATTCAGCGAAACAGCTACCTGTCAACGATATGGTTACTGTACAATCCAATCCTTCCATCATCCGTTATCTCGACGAGTCCGAGGCGTAGAAATAGTGTCAACCTCGGTTACTCTCGATATTATGTATTCAGTTACTAGACCAATGACCTTTATTATAAATTGGATAGAGCAACAACTCAATCCCACTGTGGCCACAGTTTTAATGTCATTGCCATTTACTGAATTGCGCCGTGAGATAACTTCTCCCGTACTCGGGAGTGATGAATCCTCTGTCTATCCACCATAGTCTTGATACATTCCGTAATGCATCCAATCACTACTGTATTGACAGCTCTGATTAGAAATGCGTTAGGCTAGTGTCAAACTACACCAATCGGTGCACAAGGCTCTCCGGTGATCTCAAGTCTAAGGATCAGATGCACCACCATTCGTTAGAGGATTTTTTCCATAAACACTGGGGTTACCATCCATATGGAATCCTCTGGTGGGTCAGTCTAGTGAACTTGCCTACAGCAAGCACCCATGTGTTGCACTAGGTTATCACTAAACAACCTTGACAAATGAGATCAGTCACTGCCTTTCGACAAGGTCGTTCAACACTATGATAGCCTTACCGTATTATCTATGCCCCTACTTCAAAATAATACTAGGACTACGGACGTTTCTAGAATGACCACCATATGTGCTCATAGGGTTCTCACTATCAAGATTTGAAACACTTGATACCCTCGTCACGGTTCTACCATTCTAAGGATATATATCAATACATACAATGATGATTTACGCGATATAGAATAAAATTCCTATTTATTGATCAATGAACATTATTACAAAGAGTCAATTCTACAATAATTGATTGGCTCTAGGGCATCTACTCTAACACGTGCGTGCATTGTGATAGTTGGCCATGCGCAGAGGTGAGGCGACGTGCATTTGCACGCGTAGAGTCGAAGTGATGTGCATCGATGATTGTGTTTATTCGCAGTGATGGTTAAGCGCCCTTCACAAATCGCCAACACGTGTCACTTTTGAACAGCCTAGATAGCTCGATGAATGGAGGGCCAAGATTTGTCACAAAATAGACAAGCCAGATCGCTTCTCGCCATTTTGGCTACCTTCTTCACACTATAAAACGAGCTCTTCACCCTTAGTTATCCTCCTTTGCTAAATATTTGTTTCTGCTCACCATTTTGGCTATCGTTTTCATCTGTCTTAGCAAACACTTGTCCACCCTTTTCACGGCGACTTTCCGGTGAAATTCTCTACAATTAAGTGCTTTACACTTGTTTTTTCTAGTTTCTTTGTTTGAGTTCTTTGCTGTTAGGGGTGTCATTGTGGTGGCCTGGTTCAAACCAGGGTTTCACTCATTGGGTTAGACTTTAGGATGTATTAGGAGAATAGTTACTGGAAAATCCCGTCGGAATGTGTTGGGGTTGGCTTATGGGTTTGTTGTAGGTTGCTCGTTTTTTTGGGTTTAGCTTTAGGTCGCTCTTATGCGAGCTTTCTGGATGCCTGAATTGGAGGCAAGTGTGGATAGGTTGCTTGTCACTAAGATAGCTAACAACACTTGTTTCTTCATGTTTCAAGTATCCAAAGGTGAGCTAATCAATCATGTCGTCCACTGACCCTAGATTGAGAGGTTATTTGAGGAGGGTTCCCCAATAGCTTTGGCTGGTCATGGGGAGAGAGCTCAGGATGAGCTCGCTGCCGAAGTCCTTAAGAGGAGCATAGGCAGTGACTGAAGTCTCATGGAGTACGAGCGAGGAAGCCGCTGACGCGAGGCCTTTGCGATCATTTAGGTTTAGGAAATACCCGACCTCGTCGATCACCTT